AGCCCTGGGGGTCATGTCGCGTCCTTGGGCCTGAGGCAGAAAGTGCCAAGCAAGATGGCCTGACTTGGTGTTCAGACTGCCTCCAATACAAAAACATGTATGCATTGTAGAGGGTTGGGCTAGATGACCCCGTCCAACTCCACAATTCTGCGTATCTCAGAACCACAGTAGCAAAGTGGTTGGAGCTTGATCCCTTCCTCACAGGGCTGTTGCAAGGATGAAATGCAACGGGGTGATAGCATGGGGTGAGCCATATACAGCGGTACCTCGGGTTATATACGCTTCAGGTTACAGACTCTGCTAACCCAGAAATAATACCTTGGGTTAAGAACTTTGCTTCAGGATGAGAACAGAAATTGTGCTCTGGTGGCGCGGCGGCAGCAGGAGGCCCCATTAGCTAAAGTGGCGCTTCAGGTTAAGAACAGTTTCAGGTTAAGTACGGACCTCCAGAACGAATTAAGTACTTAACCAGAGGTACCACTGTGCAGCGGTACCTTGGTTTTCGAATGTCTCAGAAGTTGAACCTTTTGGTTTTCAAACGCCAAAAACCCAGAAGTAAATCCTTTTGTTTTTGAACGCTCCTCAGAAGTTGAACGGCTTCCGCTGAGTGTTTCTCAATTTTCTCAATTAAATTTGCAGACTGCCCTTTGCACCTCAGTTTTCGAACGTTTCGGAAGTCAAACGGTCTTTTGGAACGGATTATGTTCGAAAACCGAGGTGCCACTGTATATGCACTTATTTTGAGGGAGGATGCTTTTAAAAAAAAAATAAAAAAAATCAGCACTGAGAGTGACCTTGCCACTCCTTTTTTAAAAATGAGGGTTTGGGGGGAGGCACACTGCACATGCTCAGAGGCCTGAGGTTCCACGTGTTTAAAAACTTGGCAGCCCCAAAGATGTACTGTCAGCCCAGTGTGGTTTGAGAAGGCCCCAGGCGCTCCTCCTTGGCCAGCTTGTGGCTGGCTCCAAATTTCAGGCCTCCTGCGGAGCAGCTGGGGGGGGGGCTTCTCTTCCTTTCTCTCCTCCCCCACCCCAGTTTCCCAGACTGTGGCGGGTGGGGGGCACGGAGGGTCTGGAGAGAGCAAGAGACAATGGCTGGCAGTGTTGTCTGGAGAGGGTCGGACAATGGGCTAGGGTGGGTGGTTCTGTAAGCTTTTGAGAATTGCTGGGGGATTTGAGGCAGGGAGGCCTGTGAGAATCTGCTGGAGTGTAAAACTGGCTCCTTGGCAGAACAGCCGTTCCCATTTTCAGGGCGCTGTTCCTGGAAGGAGGCTTCTGTTCTGACTACCCCCTCCCCAGTCGATCTTAGGTTTTCCTGCAAAATGAAGCTTCTGGCCCGGAGTTCTTTTCAAAGTGTTCTTGCTCTTCCTGAATCGAAACTTGCAGGCTCAGTTACCGTATACTGAAAAAGGCTGGCACGTGCTCTCTTTTAAAAAAAATTAAAAATTGTCAGGATAGCTGGCTGCAGAATGAACAAGAGTCCGCCGCCTCTCAAGGGAGTCCGTTCCACAGCCAAGCAGCTCTTACTGTCAGAAAGTTCTTGCTGATATTTCCCGTACAGTGGTACCTCTGGATGCGAACGGGATCCGTTCTGGAGTCCCGTTCGCATCCTGAAACAAACGTAGCCCACATCTGCGGGTCGCGATTTGCCGCTTCTGCACATGCGCGTGACGTCAGTTTGAGCGTCTGCGCATGCGCGAGCAGCGAAACCTGGAAGTAACGCGCTCTGTTACTTCTGGGTCGCCGTGGAGCGCAACCCGAAAATGCTTATCCCGAAGCTACTTCAACCCGAGGTATGACTATAATTGGAATCTCCTTTCTTGTAACCTGATTTGTTGGTTTGGGTCCTCCCCTCTGGAGCAGCAGAAAACAAGCTTGCTCCCATCATCCGTGTGGCAGCACTTCAGATCATTGACTATGGGGAAGAAGATGCTGTAGCTCAGGGACAGAGTGTTTGCTTTGCATGCAGAAGGTTCTGGGTTCAATCCCCACTGCTAGTCACTGCGGACCATAATACGCTAGATGGACCAATAGCTTCACTCTCTCTCAGACAGTTTCCCTTGTTCCTAGTTTGGATAGTGCATGTAAAAAACGGTGAGACATGGGAATTTGTGACCCAATAGGAGGCAGGGGGAGTTGCAGGTTGGGGTTTTGGTGTGTGTTTTCTTTTAATATGTTCTCTCTGATCACTTGAAAGCAACTTCTGATCACCCCAGGCGAGTTGTCTGTTTACAAGCCTGATCTAACCACTCAGGCCTTGCCCTTGCTTGGCACAGATCCTGCCCTGCAGGCAAAGGCAAACTGGGGTGTGCCTGGCCTCTGAGCAAGCAGAGATTCCCCACCTACTTGTAAAACAGCATCCCTTGAAAGGGAACTCTCCGAAGCCCCAGGAGAAGGGATTTAATCGCCCCCGCCTCCACACAACTGCCATTCTCCCCCTCCTCTTGCAAAACAATATAGCCTTTGGGCTGGGTGCTGTAATGGTTTATAAAGGGCCTGTGTGTGCTCTCCAGGGATTTATTGAGGTATGCAGTAGCTGGCATTGCTAATCCGCAATGGTGGGCCATAGAGTATCTGCCATGCATATCAAAAGTCCCAGGTTCAGCTGGGAGAGACTCATGTCTGAAATCCTGGAGAGCTGCTGCCAATCAGTGTGGACAATACTGAACTAGATGGACCAATGATTTGGCTTGGCATCAGTGTTCAAAATTTGCCAGGCGCATTTTGCACCAGGCTATCGACCAAGTGAAGATGCCTGGGTGCCAGGGTGGTGCCTGACGTCTCCACCATCTGGAGGTGCATGCCTGAGGATCCTTGGATCGGGACTGTTTTCACACACTAACAGCACATCCTATAGAATTCTACCAGTTATACTTCTATCTGCACAATCAGAATGAATGTTGGGAACCAAAATGCTTCTTCGCCTGGGCAGCCTGAGCAGGAGCAGTCGCCATTAAGAAAAAGAGGTCGGATTAGGCCAGTTTATATGTGGACTGGTCCTGGATCAATGGACTCTTATTCTTTAAGTTATCTTAACCTAGGCTCATGGCTGTCATCTGAACTAGCCAGATGTTTAACTGAGAAACCCATCATTTGAAAAAGAAGACTTTAGAAAAAGGGCAACTAGACATTCCGCTTTGGCAACCGCAACCTTTGTCCAAGGAGCCTAACACTGCTTAGTTTAAAGCAGACTCCTGTGTTCCTATTTAAAGCCGGCCTTTATTTAAAGCCGTGAGGACTGGAATCTCTATTTGTAAGGGAAGAGCGGTAGCTCAGTCATAGAGTGCCTGCTGTGCATGCATAAGGTTCCATCTCTGGCGTCCACAGGTAGGGCTAAGGACATCCTCTGTCTGAAATCCTGGGAGGCTGCTGCAAATCTCCGTGGGCATTACTGAGCTCAATAGGCCCAGGGGTATAAGGCAGGCTCCTTTGCCCTTCCTATGGAAACGCTTCTCTGTTCTGCAGTTACTTGGGTCATCCGCCGCCTCCTTCCTTCCTGCCGGTGCCAGTTTGCTTGCTGAGCTTCCTGTTTTGAGCATGATGGCTCTGCGCTCTGCCTGCACAGTCGCAATGCTTCTGAATGCTCCTTGCTGGAAACCGCAAGAGGGGAGAGAGGGCTCTTGGGCTCAGAGGTCCTGCTTTTGGGTTTTCCACCCTGGGCATCTGGTGGGCCACTGCGAGAACAGGATGCTGGACTTAATGGGCCACATGTCTGATCCTCTTTATGTCATTATGTTTTGTGGGTGGTTTTCATGGTCTGGCATACTTAAAACTTTTTCTGGCTTTTCTAGCAACCCAACTACTTGTGGTTGCCAGGGCTGTTGCAGTCTTCTGTCCCAAGCCTGCAATCCCTTGTCCAGGGATGCTTAAGGTTCTTGTAAAGCCACATTCTTCTTGTGTGTGTTTTTTAAAAAGCCAACCTACCTGATTTGCCTTACCAGAATGATAAGAGTCAACCGGGGTTGGTAGAAGACTTAGCTGGCTTGTGTCAGTGTTAAAAAACTCTGTTGGAACAGGAGCTGCACTGCGTTTGGGAAGGGCCATCACTCTCTTGTCTCCACCTAACCATCTCTGGGCCAAGGAACACGGCCTGAGAATTCCCGTGTAGTTTGCTAAAGGCTCATCGCCACCTGCTCTGCATCCTACTTGCTCCTCAGCTGGTGCAGCATGTTCCTGGGAAGGGCGATTTCTAAAAACCACCTATAATGGGTAATTAGCACAGGCCGTACACCACAGAGTGTGTCCAGGGTTCATTGCAGGCAGGCATTTACATGTAAGCGTTCTGGAAGTGAAAAGCAGCACACATACACCCCCACTCCAATTTATTACGTGGGGCTGCAGCTCAGATACAGATATGAGATCACGGTCTTCTCCAACTGAAAGCAGGTCCTTGGCTGAGACATTAGAGGGTTAATGCCAGTTTCATAAGAGAAAGATTCTCCCCTGACTTGTCTGTTGGGTTTATATTATTTCAGAAATAATAATATTATTTTTCTGGTTATGATAGGATTATATTGCCTTGACATTTAATAAAATAGTTTTGATTTTTTTTCTTTTTAAAGAAACAATTTTTATTTCGAGCTTTCGCTTTTGTCTTTATAATTTTTTTCTAAAAACCTCTTAAAGTCTAGAAAAAAATGAGTACTATAAGTTGTACCATGGTGTTAATCTTACTCAGAGTAAACCCACTGAAATTAATCAACGTGACCAACCTGGGCTCATTAATTTCAGTGGGTCTACTCTTAAGTAGAACTTAGCTGTCTGCCAAAAAAAAGCACTTCAAACAAACCGAGCTATTTGTAAGAACCTTCAGTATATGCATTTCTCTGTAACGTTAAAATTCCCACAAAAAAGGAGGTGGCAACATGGAACCCGTGGTATTTTGGGGAGTTCAAATTTGGCACGTGCTCCTGAGGTTTCCTGGAGAGCCAGGCTGATGCTCCTCCCTCGTGTTCCCTTCCAGCACTACAGATCTGTGATTCTATCATTCTCTTTCTTTAGGTCTGTGTGTCTTTGCTCTATCTAGCCTTCCGAGGTACACAAAACCCCCACACAGCCGCCATGGCAAACAGAGGCCCCGCTTATGGACTCAGCAGGGAGGTTCAGAACAAGATTGACAAGCAGTATGACGACGAACTGGAGCAGATTTTAATCCAGTGGATCGTTGCCCAGTGTGGGCCGGAAGTCGGGCAGCCCCAGCCAGGCAAGAAGAACTTCCAAGAGTGGCTGAAAGATGGAACGGTAAGGAGTTCGGTGTGGCTTCGTTCAGCCTAGAAGGTTTGGGGTCCCTCTGTCGTTACAAAAAGGCAATCTAAGTTGTGCAGTGCCTTTAAGGGGTGGGTACAGGTATTCATTAGTGTGAGCTCCCGTGGGCTAGATCAGGCAAGCTTCAGGTTTGCCTGATCTATTCCATTTCATACAAAACCACCCAAGGTCTACTAACTGGAGCCTAGTGCTGCCGCTCAGAGCAGTGTTCGAAATTCACCAGGCGCATTTAGCATCTAACTATTGGCCATTTGCGGCCAAGTGGCGCCAGGATGGCGTCTGACAGCTCCACCATCTGGAGATGCATGCCTGGGGATCCTTGGATCTTGACTGCTTTCATGACACTCGCAACACGTCCTTTTATATTTTATCTGCACACAATCGGAACGAATTTCAGGAACCAAAAGGTCGTATTGAAAAATACAACTTCCGAGCTTCCTGGCCCCAAAATGACAGCTGAACATTTCATTTTGGCATCAGGAACCCTGGTTTAAGGAACCATTTGGTGCCTAGCTTATTTATCCGAGTTTCTAACACTGACTCAGCGTGTTAGACCTTTGAAGCCCTAAACAGCCTCGGCCCAGTATACCTGAAGGAGTGTCTCCACCCTCATTGTTCAGCCCGAACACTGAGGTCCAGCTCCGGGGGCCTTCTGGTGGTTCCCTCACTGCGAGAAGTGAGGTTACAGGGAACCAGGCAGAGGGCCTTCTCGGTGGTGGCGCCTGCCCTGTAGAACGCCCTCCCATCAGATGTCAAGGAAATAAACTACGATCTGACTTTTAGAAGACATCTGAAGGCAGCCCTGTTTAGGGAAGTTTTAAATGTTTGATGTTTTATCGTGCTTCTAATATTCTGTTGGGAGCTGCCCAGAGTGGCTGGGGAAACCCAGCCAGATGGGCAGGGTATAAATTATTATTATTATTATTATTATTATTATTATTATTATTATTATTATTATTACAACAGACTCCATTTTTTTCCCTGGCCCCTGACTAGGTGTTATGCCACCTCATCAACAGCCTTTGCCCCAAGGGACAGAAGCTGGTGGCAAAGATCCAGAGTTCTAGTATGGCTTTCAAGCAGATGGAGCAGATTTCTCAGTTCCTGCGTGCAGCCGAGCAGTATGGCATCCAGGCCACAGACATATTCCAGACGGTGGACCTCTGGGAAGGTACAAAGTATTTGTGGCGGAGGGCAGGGAGAAGGAAGGAGGGCAGAGGGAGCATCTCTGAGGGGAAACCACGTGTGATCTAAGGCAGGTGTGGGGAGCCCATAGGCCCCCTCACCTGGCTCCCAGCCTCCCCAGGCCTAGCCTTGCCCAACTCCTCCCCGACTGCAGTTAGAGTTGAAGGCTGTCCCTCAAAGCCTGCCTGCTATGGGGCGGCAGTCTTCCAGAAGAGTGGATCAGGGCTCTGCAGTGTTAATGCTCCCTCCCTCAGCTGCAGTCTCCAGAAAAATCTCCCCATTCCCTCTTGGCAATTAGGGATGGAAAGGAAAAGAAACCTAGATTGCTTTTTTCAGCAAGTAAAGGGCAGGCATGAAGTCGCCTCACCACTTTGACTTGGGGGGCTGGCATTCTGCTTGGAAATGACATTTCTGATTTGAGCGGGTATCTGGGTCACTGAATTCTCCATTTCTAAAGGGTCGAGGGCAGAAAAACAGGAGCAAGTCCAAGGAAGTGTCTCTTTTGGCACAACTTTTCAAAACAATGCAGATCTCTGCCAAATCGGTCTACTTTACAAAATAAGCTCCTGGCCGTTTGGAGAAGTTAAGATCAGAGCTTCCATTTTTGCCTAACCTGCAGTGTGGGATGAGGGTGGATTCTTAATGGCCTGTATAGTTGTTTGGTAGAGTCCTTTTACTTAGTAAAATGTCTATCTCACCTTTCCTCCAAGGAGCTCAAGGTTGTGTAGATTGCCCCCCCCCTCCATTTTATCCTCACAATAACCCTGTGAGGTAGGCTGTGAGACTAAGAGGTCTCCCAGTGAACCTCTTTGCTAAGTGGGGATTTGAACCCAGATCTACCTAGTCCAAAACTCTTAACCACTACATTACACTGCCTCTTGCTTTACCCAGGATTAATTCCCAGCCATCTCCAATTAAAAGGGTCTTGGGTAGAAAGTAATGTGATAAAACTCCCCCTGCCCTTGAGAGCTGCTGCCAGTCTGTGCTGAGCAGACTGCCCTGGACTCGGTGGTTTCACCCTTTTTGCAAAGCAGCTTTTCGTGTAACTGTTGCTGCTTCCTGGTGATGGTGAGCCGAAACAGGAAAAAAATATGGGGAAAGGATGCAAGATCGCCTTGCCTCACTTGTAAAAGTGAGTGGCCTTTTGCAGTCCTTGGCTTCAGCACTTTGGGGTCTCTGCCAGACTGTAAAAGAGCAGAGTGCTCCTGCTTGATCTTGAGAATGGTGTTAAGGCTTGGACGTGGTGCATATATTTGATCGACTTCTGAATTCTTCCAACCCACAGCTAAACACATGGCCAGCGTGCAGAGAACCTTGATGAACCTGGGAGGCTTGGCGGTCTCTAAAGGAGACGGCCTCTTCGTTGGGGACCCCAACTGGTTTCCTAAGTAAGTGCTGTGGCAAGAGGGGGTGTGGGTGTGGACTAACTCCATATTGGGCTCAAATTTATAAGGTATGGAATAAGGGAATAAAATCACTGTTCACTGTAGGGTTCTTCTGTAGCCATTTCAATCCCAGTAGTAGTTGCATTATATTGCTTCCCAAAAGCACTCTGTAACATTCCAGTGGTACCTTGGTTGTCAAAGTTAATCCATTCCGGGAGTCCGTTTGACTTCCGAAATGGTTCGAAAACCAAGGCATGGCCTCCGATTGGCTGCAGGAGCTTCCTGCACTCAATCAGAAGCCGTATTGGAATGTTTGGCTTCCGAAAAACGTTCACAAACCGGAACACTCACTTCCAGGTTTGGGAGCCAATTTGTTTGGGAGCCAAGCCGTTCGACAACCAAGGTACCAGTGTATTCAGACATCACTGGGACAACCTTGTTGGGTAAGCCAGTATTATCCCCAATTAGCTACTGTGATAAGAGGAAGGTTGAGTGACAATGGCAGGAGATGAGAGGCTGCTGCTGCGCATTAAAAACATTTTAAAACTTCCCAATACACAGCTGCATAACATCATTTATCCATTGCACTTCAGCTGGTGGCTCAGAGTCTGCTGCTGCACAGGTGATGAACTTGTGGTCCTCTAGACCAGTGTTTCCCAACCTTTTTTGGGCAAAGGCACACTTGTTTCATGAAAAAAATCTCGAGGCACACCACCATGCCAGATGGGGAAAGGTCACTTTTTACTTATGTAAAAAAAATAAAAAAATAGTAACAGCATAGAAGGTAATGGTTAGGCTAGCATCCCTCTTCCAAATATGCTAGGTTTTTATTTGCAGGGACTGTTCTACATGGGAAAGCATTCAGCACTGTCATTCTCCCATCTGCCATCTGAATTGGTACTATTCTGGGTCAACTTACTCTGCTGCATGTGTAGATGAAAATGGCACCAAGTGTGGGGGAGGGGGCAGAACAGGTTTCAGATACAGGATATTAAGCATACACGTACTTCAGATTGAACTGGTTGCTTGCTTTGCAAGTTTTCATTTCCCAAATGACTGCCTTGGCAAGCGCAATACCTACCAGGCTCAACGCCGGTCTCGCGCTGCCGCTTCCCGCGCTCTCAAGGACCCGGGAGGAGGAAGGCGTGAAGGGAATCCCGAAGGCGCGAAAACCTCGCGCATGCGCAGGCCTTCCGCCTGCGATAGCCCAGTAGGCCGGCCGAAGCGAGCGGCGATGGGATGTGGGAGGGAGCTCGCTCGCCGCCCCGCGTGTGCCTATGTGGGGCACGTTACAGCCCCGTGACGTCAGCGCCAGGCAGGCAGACGGCGAGAGCCCCGCGCTGGGCGGCCTCTCCTCGCCGCCGCCGCCCCGCCTCTCGCCGCCCGACTCGCCCGCCTCCCTCCAGGCAACATCTCGCGGCACACCAGGCAACGTCTCGCGGCACACTAGTGTGCCGCGGAACACCGGTTGGGAAACACTGCTCTAGACCACAGCGTATCTGGCCCTGTGCCTTCCAGATTTAACTCCTAGTTTCCAGCCTCTGTGGCAAATGATTGGGTATGATGGGATTTGTAGTCCCCAACATGCAGAGAGCACCACATTGGCCACCCCTGCTCTGGATACTGTTGGACTCAGCCAGCATGGCCAGTGGTAGGGGATGATGGGAGGTACAGACCAGAAACATCGGGGGGGGGGCGGTCTGGCAGGTCAGATTTTCCCCCTCCCCAGGCACACACTGCAATGCTGGATCACAACCGAACTTGGAAGACAGGGGATTACAGGGGTGTGTTTTAACTATTATCAATTTTCATATGCTATTGAATAACCATAAAACACCTGATAGCCAAGAATGAAATTGCTCCATAATGAAAGTCTCAGGCAAAACCACTATTTTACAAGAAAATTAGGTCCTATGATACAGCCTTTTGTCTTCCTTGAGGACCTAGTGAGGAGAGGAATGTAGACATTACTGTAATATGGCATTTTCAGTTTCCATAAGCTTGGCTTACAGAAAAATTACAAATAAACAATTCAGGGTAAAAGCAGCATAAAAAAAAAGTTGGAATGGACTTTCCAAATGGTCATAAAACTGTGTTAAGTTTCTTCAGTGGAAAGCTTTGGAGAAAACAGTTGCATGTTTTTGAAATCTGCTGCCCAAAAAATTGTTGCTGGAAGAAAGCCCACTGGGGTTCAGTCCTCAGGATCTGCAGGGAGGGAGAGTTGAGAGAGACTCCTGTATCCAACTCCAGAGAGACTAATGGTCTGATTCAGCGTAAAGCAGGTTCATATGTGATCCGGTGTTGCTTTAGCTATATAGATCCTCTAAGCCACGGTTTCCCAAACTTGGGTCTCCTGCAGTTTCTGGACTACAATTCCCATCATCCACGAACACTTGTTCTGCTAACTAGACATGATGGGAGTTGTAGTCCCAAAGCAGTTGGAGGCCCAAATTTGGGAAACCCTGTTCTAAGCTGAACGAAGACAAGCAATACGAATGGACCGAGTTATAATCTTTTAGAATATCCTTTTTAAAACAAACCTCCTAGGCTATGTCCTCTGCAATGATGTGTGTGCTTGTTTCTACCCCTCACTTCCTGCCTTCCCCCTTCCACCCCGACAGGAAGTCCCAGGAGAACCGCCGTGCCTTCCCAGAGGACAAGCTCAAGGAAGGGCAAAGCGTCATCGGCCTGCAGATGGGCACCAACCGGGGAGCCTCACAAGCGGGGATGACGGGCTACGGCATGCCACGCCAGATCCTTTGAGCCGGGATGCCCCACCAAGCAATGGCTCCTTGCTTTCCGACACCTCATATCCCCAAGAATCTCTCTCTCTCTGTCTCTCTCCAAATTGTGCTACCACGAGAAGCCTTAAAGGCAGACCAGGAGGAGTGGGCCTTCTGGTGCCCACTTTCCCCCTGTGCCAGCCCTGGTCGGTAACCTCCTCTCTTTTTTTACTGCCCCCCCTTTTTTACCCATATTTTTCCTCTTAAGCACACACGACTGGAGTGAGTACACTTTATTTCCTTCTCCCTGCCTACTCTTGATCTCATTTCTCAAGAGCGCTTTAACCCCCCTCCCCTGGGGGGTGGTCCTCCATACAACACCTCCCCCCCCCCAAATATAATGCTGGGGCCAACCAACGACTCATCTGAAGAATACAGGGACCCCCCCAAAAAAAGGTGTGTGTCTCCTTTTTCTCCCCACCACCCTTCATAATGCCAATGTGGTTTTACTAGTGACCAAATGCCCCTTCTACTGCAACATTTTATTATTATTATTATTATTATTAAATTCACTATTCACATTCCAGAATCTGGCCCCTTAAACCCTGCTTTCCTTTTACACTTATCTGGACCAAAACAAAAGTAAATAAATGCCCGTTTCTTTTTTGGACACTGTTTTTGGCAGTCTTAGCAACTTGCCAGCAGAGCAGTCCTGGATAATATCTAGAATCTCAGCACTCTGCACTGCAATGTCTCTTATTTTTTTTGCGCGCGTGTGAGGGGAGCAGGGCAGCTAACCTCTTCCTGTGGTGTCTACCTGGCAAATAACACTCACACCCACAGGGTAGGAGGATCTCTTTGGCTGGCACAACCTCCAGAGATCACAAGGTGATCCTTCCTGGTGCTGGGTTCAGATTCTCTACAACTACATTCCTGGGTAGCTGTTTCATTTGGGGTGCTTTTAAGGGGGCAAAGGGGGGATTTTTAACTTTTCAGCCAGTCTCTCCCCACCCTGGAAATCCTCTGATTTTTGTCTTGCAGTGGAAAACCTCATTCTCTGCTGCTAATTCTTTCTTCTTCTTTTTTTACTTCGGGTTGGGGGGGGCCTGGTCACAGCTGTCTTGCCATTCCAAATTTGCCTCTTCTCCAGGGCAAGAAGGCACAGGGCTGAGTCTGAACTCTTAAAACTGTGTGGCATTCTTAACTGTGGAATGTACTCTGCCTCAAGATCACTGATAAGGAATAAACATTGCTCAGTCCTTTGTTTATAACCCCTGTGTATTTCTTATCTGGGTTGGGATGGGTGGAAAAGGGCGGGGTGTTTTGTTTTGTTTCTTGAGGGGGTAGAGCTTTTTAGCAAGCACAACTGGATCTGGAAGACCCTGCTGTCACAAAGCCTCTCTACCTGCACTGCAGCCCGACAGCTGTTTGCCGGGGCTTTGAAGCGCCACACACACTTCTCTGCAAGCCCCGATGATCCCATGATGTGCTAGGTCAGGGGTCTGCAACCTTTAAGACAAAAAGAGCCACTTGGACCCGTTTCCGAAGGAAAAAAAACTGGGAGCCGCAAAACCATTGTGACATTTAAAACAAATATATCTCTGGAGCCGCGATCTGACAGCGGGCGGGAAGGTGACGTCGGGACGGTGTGTGACTAATGTACGCACCGCCCCCATGCGACGTCACAGCCAGTACAGCGCCCGCCACAGTGGGGAGTGTCGGGGCGCACAATGCGCCTCCTCCCCTCGCTAGTATCCGCCCCGGAGCCGCGGCAAAGGTGTAAAAGAGCCACATGCGGCTCCGGAGCCGCGGGTTGCAGACCCCTGTGCTAGGTCTTTTGTGCTAGGACCTTTGCAGCTGTCCATTTCCAGGTTCTGCTGATGGGCCACTTGGCAGTGCCTGAAAACTTGTTTTGTAGCCCAGCCGTGTCTCCACCTGCCCCACACCTAAGTTCTTGTACACAGGTGAGCAGGTGGCTGCTTGACCAAAGCAGTCTCAGGGCTCAAAATGGGGATGCCTGACAGGACTGATTAGGCTTGTGGGGCCACAGGCTCCCCACAACTGCTTTTGTCCATCTCTAGGGCCTTTTGAATTATGGTGCTGGAGAAGACTCTTGAGAGTCCCATGGACTGCAAGAAGATCAAACGCATCCATTCTTAAGGAAATCAGCCCTGAGTGCTCACTGGAAGGACAGATCGTGAAGCTGAGGCTCCAGTACTTTGGCCACCTCATGAGAAGAGAAGACTCCCTGGAGAAGACACTGATGCTGGGAAAGATGGAGGGCACAAGGAGAAGGGGGCGACAGAGGACGAGATGGTTGGATAGTGTTTTCGAGGTTACCAGCATGAGTTTGACCAAACTGCGGGAAGTAGTGGAGGACAGAGGTGCCTGGCATGCTCTGGTCCAGGGGGTCACGAAGAGTCGGACACGACTAAACGACTAAACAACAACAACAGGGCCTTTTGTCCTGTTCCCCACCTGGTTATAAAACAGGTGCAGAACATGAAAAGCAACGCAGGGGAGATCTTCAGGTTCAAAGAGATGTGTTTTTGGAGGGGCTGTGGTACCAGGTTGGACAATGCCATTGATTTTTAAACTAGGCTGTGTAGGAAAGAAGTATTCATAGTCTGCACCTCCCCACTCCTGCCCACCCCCAGCGGATCTTGAGAAATTCTGCCCGAGTGGACTCAAGCAGCAGCCAGGGCAGGATTCCAGCTTCTGGGCTGTTCCAAGAAACTCTGTCCTCCTCAACCAGGAACCAGAGGTTAATTTCTGTTAGCATAACTCCGGCCGCTGTTTCCTTGGCAACAGAGATCTTTTGTTGTCAAGCGGGCTCTCCTCTCTGCCAAAAGTCCAAGGAGAAATCGCCGCTTGTTTCATGCCAAACTTTTTGCCCACAGGGCAAACCTTTTCCACCCAAGTGTGTCTTTATCATGGAAACTTGCCTGCCCCACCAAAGAGGGTTCTGGGTAATGTTCTGAGATGCACACCTCTGGTTTTCATGAAGCCCAAACTGGGACCGTTTTGCCAGTCATCCAGGGAGTGTACACCGCAAGGGCGCACAGAGCTTTCCTACAGCTACGTGGGAATCCTGTTTCTTCCCAAGGAAGCTTATCTGCCGTTTATTAGCCTTATCGTAGAGAAAGCGACGCCTAGGGTGCCTCGCTAAAGTTAGAAGCGGGACCCGCCGCAGCATTGCGAGGTGTAGCCTTCCTGTTTGCTGTCTGAGTCAGCCATGCGTTTCTCCATAACAGCCCACGCCAACTCCTTCCTAATTTTCCATCCTCCCCACCCAAAAGCCAGCCAGCATTTTGCTGCCTCCACGGAGCATGCTCAGCCCTCGTTAAACGCAGGTAACATTAAGTTCCGGTAACGAGTCAACAGCTTTTGTCCCAGACACAGGAGCCAACTTCCAAACTGAGGTCTATTTACCACCTGCCCAATAAAACATTTGAGGGCGGCAGGGGGCCCCCAAAGCCGATAGGCATTGCTATTCAAATGGTGTGCTTCGAGGGTGGGGCTTACCTGTCCCCCCTCCCCCATATTTTATTCAAGTTGGCACCCCTGGTCCCCGAGGATCAGGTTGAAAATGCCTTTTTTGTGGGAGTTCACACAATGTAAGTCTACTTTTGAGTATAACTTGGTTGGATGCAACCGAGAGTGGTTTTAGCATCCAGTCTCTCTTCCCAGGGAATTCTGGGAATTGTAGCTTGGTGCTGAGAATAGGGGGTCTCCTAACATCACTCGGCGCCTTTACAAACCACAGTTCCCAGGCATCTTTGCGGAGAAGCCATGACTAAGTGACACGATACTGCTTTAAATGCAAGGTGCAGATCGGGCCAAAAATTTGGCTGCCACTCTGCCTTCTCTGGGACGCGGGTGGCACTGTGGGTTAAACCACAGAGCCTAGGACTTGCTGATCAGGTCAGCGGTTTGAATCCCTGTGACGGAGTGAGCTCCCGTTGCTCAGTCCCGGAAGCTGTACGCCGGCTCCCTTGGCCAATAAAGCGAGATGAGCACCGCAACCCCAGAGTCGGCCACGACTGGACCTAATGGTCAGGGGTCCCTTTACCTTTATGCCTTCTCTACATGGAATGAGGGGGGCACCACCTTGTCCTTTGGCAAATTGTTTAGGGCCAGTCCTGAAGGGGAGAAAAAGAACTGTTTCAAGGGGGGTGGAAGCAGCTCCTAGCAATTTCAAGTGGAGCATTACGCTTACGCCCGCCTGACACTTGTGCTACTTCCACGTTGTCGTGTGTGTGTGTGTGTGTGTGTGTGTGTGTGTGTCTGTCCCCAAAGGGTGTGTCGGTATTTGCTCTTAGTCTGTGTATAGGTGTGTGTGTCAGCTGGGCTGGGCCTCTGTACTTGCAGCGAGACCCAAGCTCCCTATGTTTAAATGTGGGGCGTACACCCTTATTTCTGTCGTCTTCCATGCATTCCAAAGAGACTGTTGCATCCTGGGCCCTAGTCCTCAGCCAAAGTTTCAGCCGTTGAACCAATGGCACAGTCAGGTAATTTTTAGACTTGGGGACTGGAGGTGGAGGAGAAATTCTGAGTCCGTCTGCATTTAAAGAGCCACTGTGGTGTGTGGTGGTTAGTGTGTCAGACGAGGACCCAGGAGACACGGGTTCAAATCTCCACTGGGCCATGAAACTCATGGAGTGACCTAGGGCCAGAGCCATCTCAGCCTAACCTACCTCTCAGGGTTGTTTGAGGAGGGGAAGAACAATGTACGCCACCTTAAGCTCCTCAGACAAAAAGGTGGGATATAAATGCCATTAGGGACGCAGGTGGTGCTGTGGGTTAAACCAAGAGCCTAGGGCTTGCCGATCAGAAGGTCGGCAGTTCGAATCCCCGCAACGGGGTGAGCTCCCATTGCTCGGTCCCTGCTCCTGCCAACCCAGCAGTTTGAAAGCACCTCAAAGTGCAAGTAGATAAATAGGTAGTGCTCCGGTGGGAAGGTAAACCGCGTTTCCATGCGCTGCTCTGGTTTTGCCAGAAGTGGCTTAGTCATGCTGGCCACATGACCCAGAAAAACTGTCTGCAGACAAACGTTGGCTCCCTCGGCCAGTAAAGCAAGATGAGCGCCGCAACCCCAGAGTTGCTCGTGACTGGACTTAACTGTCAGGGGTCCCTTTACCTTTACTAAATGCCATTATTATTATTATTATTATTATTATTATTATTATTATTATTATTATTTCTTAACAGCAAACTTAATTAAATCACGCGTTCCAAAACAATAAGCGAACCAAAGCACAGCTATGCTTCAAAATTTGCACTTCTCTGAATTTTGCAATGCAGTTCTCCAGGTACTGTGTACAAAAATGTATCTGCTGTGTTAAGTCGTGCATATAAATACAAAAATCAATGAAAACAATGGGCAAAATACATTCAGTTAGGCAGAATTGCATACATTAAGCCTGAAATTTAATAGGAGTTACATTCCAGGGATTAATCCTAAAGCCAAAACTGCATATAAGTCAAAACATTTACGGTATATATATATGCCAAGCATGTGAAGCTGAATGTGCACAAGTTAAATGCAGATGTAAGTTGCGGGCTTGCTGTATGTGCACATTTGGATAAATTATTATAATTCTGTTTATTACCCTCTCTTCACCAGCAGGTCCCAGGGCAGGTTATAGCAATTCAAGTATTTAAACCAGATAAAATAAAGTTGCAGTCACAGGAATAGGATGGGTCCTGGAAATTAACACCGAGGGCCATATTTCCTTCTGGGCCACATTCCAGTGGCAGACAGGGCCAGAGGCAAAAGTGGGCAAAAGAAAACGAATTAAATTTTACAAGCAAACTTGAAAGCCTTGTTATTGCCTCATCCGCATGCTGGAGCAAAGGCGAGGTCTGTCATTTCTTCTGCTGCCCTGGCACATGACGTCATTTTTCCTGCCCTGGGGCGGGGGAGTGCTGTACCCATACTCCTCTTCCGCTGCCCCAAGGTGTTGGGTAGCTGAAGAAAAACCTTTCGCATAATCTGATACTTCTAGCTCATGGTTAGAGAACATCTGGGCCTCTAGATCACGGTTTCCCAAACTCCGGTCTCCAGCTGTTTTAGGACTACAACTCCCATCATCCCTGGCTAGCAGGACAAGTGGTCAGGGGTGATGGGAATTGTAGTCCAAAAGAACAACAGCTGGTTTGGGAAACCCTGCTGTAGATGTTGCTGGATTTCTTCTGCCTCCTATCAGCCCCAGCCAGCATGGCAAATGGTCAGTGGGGATGATAGGAGTTGTAGTCCAACAACTATAAC